AATATCAGTTATAAAGGGAGGGTTTAATTAATGGCAGTTATAAAGAAAAAGTTTAATTAATATCAGTTATAAAGGGAGGGTTTAATCAATACCACCTATAAAGAGAGATCCTTTCCAGCCAGGATTAAAGTGGAGGAGGCAGATTTAGTTGCTTTTAGACTCAAATATGGATCACTTTTGCATTTGGAATCAGCTCAGGATTCGTGTTTTCCCAAAATCCCGCTGGTTTTGGAGCCCACTGGGGTCACAAAGCCCCTGAAATCCCAAGGTTCGTTTACCTGAGTTATTAATTAGTGGGAATTACAGCAGGGGCATTTCAAGAAATAAACTAAAAATGGAAGTTTGATCTTAACCATTAAAACATCCCAAGTTTTTCATGGTTTATCCGACGATTAAACTCCAATTCCCGAGGATTTGCTGCCGGGGAATCTCTCCGGGGATGGATAATGGACACGAGAAACGGGGACTAATTGGATCTTAAGGGATAATTGACACAAGAAACTGGGCTAATTGGATCTTAATGCTGGAGGCAAAGCAAGAAAACAAGAGAGGCAGAGATTCCCAGAGCCGAGGGAGGGATGGAAGTTTGATCCCACCTGGATCTGGGAGGTGCAGAAACACCGGGAAGGGGGAGAAACTCGTCGGAGGGAAAATTATCAGCGGGAAGATCTTGATGTGAAAGAGCCTCTCCTGGGGAGCAAGGGAAGCTCTGTCCTTTGGGAATTGGGAGTTAGGGAGGGAAGATCCTCTGGTCCCTTCTCCAGCTGTTCCCAGAGGGATAACAATGGATAACAAATGGATTTTTAGCAAATCCACTCAGTTAAACAAGTGTAAATCCCCTAAAACCATCTGCTGAGGGGGAAGGGCTCCCAGCCACATTCCTGCATAGAATTCCCACAGCAACAGCTTGGGGAAGCAAGAGAAGGAACTCTGGACGCTGAGGTCTCTTCCCAATGAGCAGAATTCCCAAATTCCACACATCCCACCCTGTATAATTCTGATTAGGCTGCAAAACGACCTTCTGGCTACTCATAACTTGTCCCGGGAAAAGGGAGCCCATCCAAACTATCCCTGGAACATCCCAACCTGTGCCCTGAGCATCCCAACCACGACAGGAGGTGAATAAACTGGATTTCAGGTGAATAAACTGGATTTCAGGAGGTGAATAAACCGGATTTCAGGATGCCAATTAACAGGGAAATGCCCCTTGTGGTTCCTGCAAAACCACCTGGTTTCAAGGCTGGAGTCGGGGTTGTTAAATCCTCCTTTAACTCCAAAAAATCAGCATTAATTATCTCCTAATTATCTCTTAATTATCTCCCTGTCCTGCCCCAGACAAACCCCACGCTCAGAACCCCCAAAAGAGCCTTTTAGTCCTGGGAATAAATTTAATTTAAAAGGACAAAACGAACATTCTGAGTGTATAAAAACCCCTGTGTTGTAAAAACACAGTTCCTGGATGATTTCCTCCCACTTTAATTAAGATTATTTCTCCCAGAAAAAGCCTTTTTTTCCCCCCCTTTCCCAAGGATTTTGCCTTTTCCACCCCTGAAATTCCTTCCCAGAAGTTGCTGGGAAGTTCCACCTCCAAAAGCAGCCCCCACGTACCCGGTTCGGTCCTGGAAGATCCAGTGGAGTTTTCAGACATGGTTTTTGGGGTTTTTTTCCCTGTAATCCCAGGAAATTCCAGGGGAGGCTCAAGAAAGGAGGGAAGGAGAGGACGGGAAGAGCCTCTTGTCCCGGAGTCAACCCTCCAAAGGCTCTCCCAGGTTTTGATTCCATGGGTTTAAGGCTCTCTCACGTTACATAAGAGACAGAGAGGTGCCTGTGCCGGGGATTTCAATCCAAAGGGTGTCGTTTATCCATGAGAAACCAGGAGGGGGGAGAGGTTTCTGTCCCACCTGGCAACACAAGGGCTTTATTCAGCCCTGGGACAATCAGCAGAGTTCCTCCTGAGAGCTCAGGAACCACCAGGGAACAAAGGGAGAAACCCCCAGGGGACAGAAATCGAGGTCGGAGAAAGCTCCGGAAAAG